TTCTTCACTTCTGAGGAGCCTGTGCAGGTTTAAAAGTACCATAATTTCCGGACTACAAGCCGCTACTTTTTTCACACGCTTTGAACGCTGCGGCTTAAACAATGATGCAGCTAATTTATGGATTTTTATTAATTTGTCTCGAGACGAAAGTGACATTGAGAGCGACAATGAAAGAGAGACTGAGGACGTGTGTGACGAAGTCATTCTGAGGATGTTCAATTCCGACTTTCCGACTTTAGTGGTTTTAGTGCAGGAGGAAGATGAAGATAGCGATCAATGACTTTTCCTGGTAGGCAAAAAAAAGCATTTACGGTACGTGTTTGTGTACGTTACCGGTACGTATTTAATTAAAAGTTTTTTAAAAATCTTTCTGTGTAAACAACAGCTAGCATCAAACACACAGTCTTCACCAATGGGAGCGTTAGCAACCTTGAAAATCCAACGCAAAGCATGGTTTCTGAAGATGCATTTATGGTTCGTGGAATCACAGACGGTGCAGGTTTTAGTCTTTTAACGCAATTTGTACCTGAAATGCATAGGTTTAACTCCAAATACAGCTGAGTTGTTCCATCTCAAATCACCAGGGTTCTCCTGTTTAACTGAATATTAATGAAGATATCTGTGAAAGTTTGGCTTCATATGTCAAACATTGCAGAGATGTTTTTGGGGATTGCCCGTCAACCCGCTTGTGGCAGGTTTTTCCTCGCGTTGAAGTTTGGGGCTGTTTGAGCGGCGGTATCTCAGGAGCTCTTTGAAGCCTGAAATTTTTTCTGATGTTACAACGTGGACATCTGCGGCTCATAGACAAGTGCGACCATTTTTTTTTCTTTCTAAAGTTAGTGGGTGCGGCTTATATTCAGGTGCGCTCAATAGTCCGGAAATTACGGTAATTTATCTTTACCAAAAAATGCCTAAATTACACAATTTATCAGGCAGAAACTGCAAAAAGTCATCAGTTTCTCATCTTCCCAAAGGTCCCTGAACTAATCACATGCGACGTACAGTTATGTTTGACAAGCTTAAATTGTGATATTTCATCAAAATAATTTTGTTCTATAGTGATGAATAAACATGAACCAGCTGAGTTTTTGGCTGAACTGCAGACTGTTTGAAGATGACAAATAAAATTATGACATGCAAGAGCAAAAATACGCTAAATCAATAAAATAACTGCAGCGTGGCTCAGAAATGGTGACAGAGGAGCAAGTTGTTGGACGATACATTCAGCATGGTGAAACATCTTAATAGAGTTTAAGTTGAAGTGTTGTGATAAATGCCAAGTTTGTAGAGGATGTAAAAACCCAAATAGTGTTCCCAGGATTGGTAACACATAAAGACACTTTGAATAATGTTGTTTTCAGGTTTTTCTATTATTTTTGTAATGAAAAAGTTTCTTTAATGAGTTCTTTTTTTTTTATTATTGCTGAAACCCATGTACGAATTTGATTAGAATAGCTGGATTCAATCATCTGAGACAGGATCAACAAACTCTACGACTGGAGGAACGACATGAATTTTCATCCCAGATAAGCTGCTATTACGAGGGCGGTGATCAGTTTAGCGAGATGATTTGCGCTAAAGACAAATCTGCAAAAAGAGGAAAAACAAGAATTGTTTTAGTTGCAGATTATCTTCAGCGTTTCATGAATGTTCAGCACAAATTTCAACCCAATCCATTAAAAAAATAAATGATTGTTGAGGCTTAGTAGGAATTGGAGAAGTAATGGAACTTCCCTCTAATAGCCGACGTTGTGAAATTTGTAGCAGAACTTTAGGATTTTGCAGAAAACAGGAGTTTTCATATGAATATTTTCTACTAAACCTGTGAGGCTTCATTAGTGGGCACTGAGTGATCCATGTGTTGCTATGACAACCAATCCAACAAGTGATTCCCAGAGCTAAGAAATCCGGATCACGGAGGACCGTCAACATTTTAATCCAGTTAGGAGGCCCTGGGTGTGTGCATGCGTTCCAGGTGTTTACCTCATGGGGTGGACGGGCCAGCTGGACTGCACCGGCGTCGGCAGCGCAGAGCTGGGACTCATCAGCATGGCGCTGTAGATGTTGGCCGCCACCACCAGGATGCAGAGGAGGATGGGCCCGATGATCGCCCCCTCCAGGCCCAGGTAGTACGCTCCGCCCGCCACCGCCAGGCCCGTCAGGTACGGGTGTCCACCCCTGGATTGAGATGCAAGAAATGGTTTAAAGATTAGAGACGAACACGTCAAGAAGCTGAATTTTACTTCTCAACAGTGTGGAGCATCCAGACGAAATGTTTTGGCAGCTAGAGTTACATTTCCTGAACATTCATTCATAAAAACATGTAACTGGATGGATTCCAGCTGAACACTTCAACTGAAAAACAAACCGTTCTTAATTAGAAATGCATGATATCGGCATTAACGCACAGTGAACTTTGACAGGCAGATAAAATCTTTGAGCCTAAAAGTTTGCAGGTTTGTTTGAAAATATGACATAAACATGAATATTGGGTGGGTTCTAGTAGTTTTCTTGATTTTATCAGTAAATTTATACATTTTAGAATGATTTTCTGTCTGAGGGCCGTCATAATAAAATGAGGTATAATAATATGTTAATAACTTTAATTCAACTGGATTTTCTTTGCAAATAAGTGGAAAAAATAGGAGCACTCTGCTGAAACGAGTTGGACAATATCGCAATAATGAACATACGTACAAGCCAATTATCGTGCATCCCTATTTATTATTACAGATTTTAAAATAATCCACATACATTTTCACTGTGTATCATAAAGTATGTCTTTTTAACAGTTTTTACTGGGAAGAATAATTCAATAGCATGTAAAAACTACCAATATGGTAATCTGAAAAACTTCACTTAAGCATACAACAGAGCATGTTGTTGTCGTGCAACACAGAAAATACATAAACGTGTTTTTGATTTTGATCCTGATTTGCTGCCAGATCAGTTTTACGCTGCTGGTGCTGCACAGATTAGAAAACTGGCGTGTCTGCTAGTGTTTAACGCAGATATATTCAAGTTCTAACACTGGTTTGGCCAGTAAGTGTTAAACACGTTCCCTTCATCATGGAACGGTGTCGGACCTACATGCATTTGTTGAGGATCATGTTTAAATGTTAAAGTTTCACGTTTCAGAGCTCTAATGTGCAGCTGTCATGTTAGAAACAAGCAGCTGGACTGAGAGTCACTGTTACACCGTTTCGTTTTCTCTCTGACCTTACAAGCAGTGACAGTGTTGCTTTATGTCCTAATCCTTTTTCATCTTCTTTATAGCTCTTCATTTCAACCACCTTTTTCCTTGTGATCGAAGCAGGCAGCACATTAGCGGTTGTTTTTATGGAAGCACACAGAGTCTGATGAAGAAAACCTGCTTAGCCAGTCATACATCTCTGATTGAGGTTTTAGGTTTTGTCTAGCCAGCTAACACAAAGACATCCTGGATAGGTGTAGTTTTGTAGTTCAGCCCTCTGGAGCATCATCTAAGGGCTGTACCATGAAGCAAGTTTAATATAGTCAGACTTTGTTTGTGTTAGCTGGTTTAACTAAACCTAAACCTTCTTTGTTAACCAAGTTTACTTCTTCAAATTCTGTTACCGTTTATATTAACATTCTGCACAAAACAGACTGACAGAGGGCTGCTTACTTCAGTCAAGAGCAACAGGTTTGCTTAATGAGGAGCAAGGAAGAATTAAACGAATTAAGAGTTAATTATTAGTATTTGGGTTAATCATGCAAATGAATGTATTTATTTTCCCACTTCATTGCTCTCAATGCAGCCACTTATTTCTAACTTAGAGCTGCACCTTAGAGCTCTGAAACGTCAACCTTCATACATTTAAACACGATATTGAAGAAGTGCATTAATTATTTATAATGAAGGATGCATGAACATCACTTTATAGCCAAATCAAAGGGAAATTAAAGTTTCTGATTGAATATTCTGTGATAAATGTGAAGAGAATAAACAGTTTTGTATTAGCTGCAAGACAGAATCAAGCAGGAAAACATATTTTGTTTTCTGCATCACCGGTTGAATGTGTGTAGGCTCCTGCAACAACACAATAAATACAGGTCACACGGCTTCTTTCAGTCGTTTTACTAATGTAGAGTCTGTACCGCTCACAGACAGTAGTCAGGAAACTAACTGGTTAAAGGGAGACGCTTCTGAAACTCTGAACAGAACCAGGTTAGCTGTGTAGATTAAGTTACCATGGTGATCTAGCAGGTCAATAAAACACCACCTTTGTTAATCTACAAACTCTAGATTTAAGCTCGCCAACTTCTTATTCCTGTTTTGTAGTGCAGCAAATGTAGAGTGTGTCTACAGACGTCACTGGCAGCAGAGTTTCCTCCCAGAGTCACACTGTGTGTTTTATGTCAACAGTCGCAGGTGATTTGTTTAAATATGTTTGTGCTCAAACATCACGTTGTTCACACACACGTACCCCGATATGTCGGAGTAGATGGCCGTGTCTACGAAGTATGTGGGCAGCAGGTGGCAGATGAGCAGCAGCAGGGCCTTCACACCTTCCCCCTGCGCCAACCACAGGTCGCACACGGCCGGCACGGCGGCCCAGTACGTCCCCAGGAACGGCACCGCTCCCAGGATGGCGGCCAGAGCTGGAGGTCAGGAAGAGACGGATTCAGAGGGTGAGGAAAACACAGAGCGAGGCCCGGCAGGTGTGCCGACGGCGCAATCTGCCGCTAACGCTCACCAGAAGGAATGAAGACGATGTTGATGCCAAAGATGGTGTGAGTGAGCCAAGTGTAGAGGCCGTAGAAGCCGGCCATTTTTAGAGAGGCGTCGAACACTCCTCTGCGAAACAAACACACGCACACAAGGTCAAACGCGAGCTCCTTCGGGTGTATTTTTAGATGCTGCAGCGGCGACGGTGCAACTCGGCGACCTGATGGCTTCCTCCACGGACTGGCCGATGATGTTGGAGGAGGGTCCGGGCTGGGAGAGAGGCGTCAGGCTGATCACCCACTTGACGGGTTTGTAGTATTCACCGCTGGAGCTGAGCAGGTAGAAGAGAGTCGTGAGGAAGATCACCTGCAGAAACACAACCAACAGCGCAGAATATGGTGAGCGACTCCTGTTTTGCAGAACCTGCATCAAAAAACCAATCAAGAGTATTCGCCCTGAGTAGCGCTGAGTAGGGATTGGCCAATTATTGTCGCCCATATTGTGCATTTTTTAATTAACAGTTTACCAATAAAACAATTGAAACACATTCCTTTGGCCGTGGTCTCAGCATTGTCCCGCCCACAGCATTATCTGATTGATTATATGCGACAAAAAGCAGCCAATCAGGCCATTGTTTACAGAGAGAGACAGACGAGCACATTAGCAGATGTTGCTAAAGTTGTAATAAACCCAACAAACTTCTAAATGCATTCCAAGTTACAGTAAAACTAACAGAATAATTTACTCGTTAGGCGTCAGTGCAGCTGTAACTAATTTTACTGACGGTGCTAAGCTAAAGCTAGCAATAGGAGGTTTGCTGTACCGCTTAGCCTGCAGCTAGCATAGTCTGGAGAACATCTTTCTAAAGTCACGTGAACTTTTGAAAGCTGCTTTAACTGACAGATAAGTCAATCTACAGAAGCATGAACCTTTACTACAAATCAGGAAGTTAGCTACTTTAACAGTGGCTAAGGGTATGCTAACAGCTAGTGGCTAATGGTGAAGTTAGAAGGCAGCCACAGGTCACCCACCTCAAAAACTGAGCTGGCCTCTCCGGCTAAACTGCATCTGAACATGCATTACAAGAATAAAAGTTTATTTTGGGAGCCATGACTCAGAGAAACGTAATCTCTGCCCTTTTGTTGCTGTCACTATTGGATGGCGATTAAAACTGAACTTAAGCTCTCTCACTGCCTGACTTTCAGCCATGAATAAATGGATGAGTGATAACCTTATAAAGCTAAATGAAGATGTTTTACAAGTTGGGCCAAAAACCAAAAGACGGCAAAAGCCAAAAAAAAAACAAACAACAGTCCAACTTCCTGGATCAAATCTGAATCTTGGTACTTTTCTAAGTTCTTGTTTCTTTTTTCAGGCCTGGGCCTTTTGGGCGTTGCGGGTTGCTAAAAAATTTTACTTTCATCTCTGTTACGACTGCAGTCATATTCTGCTCTGTTCATCCTGTTTTCCGTCTCCATATGAAACAGCCAATGATGCCAGGTGAGCAGAGATTCAAGTTGGAGTGTGTAGGTGCCAGCCGATGACGGCCGAATATTAAAAAAGAGCCAAGATGGCGCCGTTGGACCTCCGGGAATCGGCCCATCTGCCTCCCAACCGACCGGCCACGCTGGCATCCAGGCTTTGGACATGCAGCTCCGTCATATGGTGGATTTTCAGTCTCATAAAGGATATCGTCGAGGTGAACTGCCAGTTATGTTCAACTGTTTTGTCCTGTTCAAGTTGAAGGTTTTGCACTTTTGGTAATCTTATCTTTGGCCTTTCGTCCACCTTTAAGATAAGACTTGACTCCTAATTCCTGTGCATTCGAAGGCTGTTTTAAACGTGGGGAAGACGGGTATAGTTTGTTATGTCTCAGCAACAATCACAAATATACAAGGCTGCTACTTTGCTAACAAAATTGCGACTCTGCACTGCCTGCTTGTATCCTACAGGCCTGATTTTAAAGTCCTTCTACTTGTACTTGAAGCTCTAAATGGCTCAGGACTGGCCCACATCTCAAATTTCCAGTCCTTCTAGCTACCTAAAGCTGCACAAAATTAACAATTTGAGATGTTCAGAACTGAAGAAGCCTCTTGGGTTAGAAGTGACACATCTTCAAGAACCAAACAGAGAACTTGAGTTGCTTTTTCCTGAAGTTTTGAGAGTCTTAACCGCAACTTCTTCTAGGTTGCCAGATATATATGATTCTATTTTAATCATGCATACTTGCTTTTTAATGTTTTTTATATTAATATATTAACATTAAAGCACTGTGAGCAGCATGTGTCACATGAAAGGAGCTATAGAAATGAAGAATTACCATAATTATTCTAATAAATCTGTTAAAACGCTGTCAAGGGATTGACGTGCTGTCATGTTTGTACTTGTTCCTTTTGTGCATTACAAAGGAATAAAGATGCAGCAAATGTGAAATTCAAAAGACTTTTTTGTTCCCCCTGAGTGTGAATCAGTTTACCTTCTGTTGGAATAGTTGATGCTTTTTATGCAGCAAGTAAACAAGGTTGAGCGAGTCCAAGCTCTGCACAACGCTGGCAACAAACCAGGCGAGACAGCCACCTCTGTGCAGCTTCTGACTAAATGATTTACGGCGTTTCGTACCAGACTCAGCGCGAAGTTGAGCAGAGCCGTGCCACTGTGGAACAAGACGGTGAGGAGAGTGGTCGTGGTGGAGATGAGGAGGCCGACGTTTCTGCTCATTACCACCCACAGAGACTCCAGGATCTGAAAGGCAACACAGCAGCTGTAAACATGGCATCCGCAGGAAAGCTTACCTCTGAGACGCACGCTTATAAATATGCCAACGATTTATGACCTGCGGTGGTTAGAAGACCTATTTCTGAGCCAAACGAGGCGATGCTTTTATCAGTCATTCACTTTACTCAGTATTCTTGATATATAATACTGCATGCGAGGATGGACTGACACATCTACAGTACCTACGGAAAATATTTATCCCTCTTGGAAGCTTTATTTATTTATTTATTTAAAATCTTTTCAATATTCAATCAATATAATTTGGCTGTTTTTGACAAAAAAATTTTAAAAAATTAAAAATAAAAAAGATTTATTTGTGTCAAAGTGAAAATTGATTTCTATGAATTAATGTCAACTAATAAAAAATACAACATGTAAAATAGTACTTGCATAAGTATTCATCCCCTTTAAAGTGAATTCAACACACAGGTGGAGCC